TGAAAAGCGAAAAGTGTCATACATAAATTGTGATAGAGAGAGTAAATATTTGGCTTCTATTCATTCGATACCAATAAGAAAATAGAATATGCAATATTTCCTTGAACCAAAGATCTTCATATAACCCGTTTTAAATTCTGATAAACTTCCAATAAAATATCAGCAAGAGAACTAGCTAGTATCCATCATATCAAATCTGGAAACTTTGTATCTCACTAAGCTAAGTATCACTACTTCAATGGAGTAAAAGCTTCTCTTTGCTCTATTGCTACACTTGCGCGCGTGCAAGTAAATTAGCACTCAGTCAAGATGTATTTCACTGTGCTAATTCACCGTAAGACCTCGTATTGCTTATTCCAAGGATCGTGCTCCATTATATTCACAAGGATCATGCTCCATTACGGATCATTCCAAGGATCATGCTCCATTATATTCACAAAATATGTACATTTATGTAAACATAAAAATAACATATAGTTAGGATTTAACTTATATATCAACTTACCTTATTTTTTGGGTTACTAATTCTACTGTGAGTTATGTGTAATTACCAATTTACTAACCTGATAGTGTAATTACTTATTATGGGTGGTTCCTAATTTCAATGCATCAAGGAAGTTAAAACAAGAAAAGTGAAAACCAAAAAACATCCTTTTAATGTTCTTTCGCTGTTATGGAACTTGAATAAGAACTCCACATAAGTCTATGGAATGTCAATATTTCATGTTATGAGAGAAGATAAATTACATTTTATACATACAAAAAAATACATGATAATTAAAGCACTTTGGGAATTCTTACAGAACCAATAAGGGACAAGTGTATTCACTAAGAGTACCGGTACATTAAACCTAGTTCTGAATAGAGTGACCAATCCCAGGGCTATGACCAGGTCCTGAACGACTAAAGCCATCTACTTGACCTGGTGTTGTGGGCCGAGACACTAATGGCACAGGACTCGGCGGTGTTGTTGCCATTGGTGTTCTAACTTCTGGCTCATTCTCAAATATTTCCTTCTTTGCGGCATAAACGTTCGAGTTTTCACTGTAATTGTTTCCCCTCCCAGTTTCTCTTTTCGGCGCCATAGCGTGACTATGAGGTTTCGAGTTATTATTAATATGCTCGAACTTCATGTATCTTCCTTCAATAGATTGGATAATGTGGGAGAAGAACACTAAAAAGAAAAGGCAAGCAACCATAACCTTATTTTGAGCCATTCGAGAAATAGTGTCGGATTCAGAATTTAAACACTGAACGAATTCTTGAGTCGAGAGAGTAAGTCGAGAGAGTAAGCTACTCAAGGGAGGGAGAAGGAGATAGAGAACTAATACAGGATGCTTATGCTCTCTTTCTACTGTAATATATATATATATAGCAAAGCAAGTGACATGAGGGTTATTGGTCCATACTAGTTGGAGATTCTCATGATGTGCTTTAAAAATCAGTTGGAGATGTAGTAACGTTTTCCAATTCATTAAATTTAAAAACTTGAAATATAATGCGTGGTAAAAGCTGCAATGCTAGTTTGTCCATAGTGTTGTTAAGCCATGCAAGATTATAACTTGCCACTCCATGTCTCCACCCCCACGCTCTTTTTCTTCAGCCCTTTTAAGATTCTCCGTATTTCATTTTATATGGTTATATCTGCCCATATACAAATTAAAGTTTTAAAAAAAAAAAAAAGTCTTGACAGAGGCGGATCCAGGATTTGATGAGTGCTGACTATGGGTGCCACGGTCTTTAATGAGAATCTACCACTAATGAATGAGATTGAATTAGGGTCTACATTTAGTTTATTCGATTCGTTTTGAATTAATTCAGTTTGATGTACATGATATTTGGTTCATAAATAAATACGTGATCACCAAGCCGAATAAGTTTTGTCCAATTTAATCAATTTCTCTTGATTCAGTGTGATTAAAAGTAATAAGAAAATTAAAATTAGCAAGTACATAGCTGGAAATTAGCATCTGGGGGTTTGGCACATTAGCCACGGCACCTAGAGTCCATTTGTGACTGCGGGTGCCACCCTTAATTATATAAACGTTACATATAAAATATCAATACATACATAAAATTTTACTCGAGTGTCGGGGTGGCGTGGCACCCCAGTCCACTACATAGATCCGCCCCTGCTTGACACGTAGCAGAAATATTCTTAAAACTTGTATATGATCTGAAATGGCATTCTATGCTTATAAGAGCATTATATTTAGGATAAACTGCAATGTTTAAAGTTTGAGTGTTTTTATCGAGGGTGAACCTCAAGTTTAAAGTGGAATAGCTTCCAAATCCAAATACAAAAGTAAGTGTTCTCTTTTAGAATTAAAAAAAAAAAAAAAGTATCATATAAAATGGAACAAACGGATTAATGTATTCTCAGTGATAAACAAGCATGAAGAATTTTAATTTGGTGTTCGTCCGTCCGATCTGTTTGAAGTGAACTGTTAACACCATCATCAGCCCACGGTTTGGTGAATTCACACGCGCAAACCTAACTAAAATAAATGGGAAACTTCAAATTAAGGGCATATATATACTAGAGTTCTGAGAGCCCAACGTACATGGTATTAAAATAAACAAATCGAATTCCTTTCTTGTACAAAATAAAATTCCTTTCTTGTACGATATAAAATGAATTTCACTCAATTACAAAAATATTGTATTTTCTTTATATATACACGTACTCACATAAATATAGTTTACATGCGCTCCACTGACTGCAGCATGCCCTCTTGATAGTTGTTTTTATTTTTAGTCTAAGCATGCTTCACTTTCCAACTGTAGATTCTGGCTGTATTCTTTTGTTCTTTGGTGCCTACATTGTTAAACAGCTCTTTGGTACATTCAGGGGCTAAACTAAAACTGGTAAGATCTGTCCTTTGGATTATTATTACGATCTGTCAGCTGAATCACATGATGATCTTGGAGTTGAGTAAACAAATAAGAGGCGGAACTAAGATTTGAAGCTTAAGGGTTTGGAATTCTAGTCTTTTTAAGTTATTGGATTCTAAATTAATAATTTATACATTTTTAATGGATTTTTGTTAAACAAATGTAAGGTTTTTAGCTGAACCGGTAATCGGCATGCTAGCTCTGCCCCTGCTCCTAGTCCTCCCACCCTTGAAATAAAAATGATAGTTCACTGTCTTGTAATTGTTCTTCACTTCTTCTGACTTCATTCCTAAACTGGAGGGTTTGACAAAATGACTAAATGAGCCTTCTCCTTAATTAATTTCAATTACTTAGTAAATGTATTAAAAATTAAAAAGGCAATGAACATGCTAAGAATCATTTTTTTAGTTACTTAAACAATAAAATAGTTGCTAAAAATGCTTACTTCCAATAGTTAAGTTGGGGGGAGCTATGACAGAAGGTTTCAAGGTCAAATCTAGGAACATTCTTTTGCTGCATACGACTGATGTTTGGTGTTTCAATGAACTAAAATGGCTCTCGGCTGATACTATATGTCTTCCTAATTTTTACTAGTCTCAGTAAACACGCTACTATCGTAGGAGATAGAAGACGATTATCGCCGTGTTAACATAAGTATTTGTGTGTTATAAAAACTTATACGGATTACATAAAAGTCAGAGAAAACTGAGGTGATTCAGTGGTAGAAATGCAAGCTACCAAAAAGCTAAGTAACACTATATCTTTTCAAATTAAATATCGTTTGGACTTTCTCCCAATTCAGACCGGAGCAGTCAAGGATTTATTGTGCACATGAAATCTACATGGTCAAAGATAGAGAAGAAGGATTTCACTTATATACAATGGTATTAATTTACATTATCGGTGCATTTTAACTTGTTATAACATACAATTTACTTTATTTTCTATGTTACTAAGCTAGGCTTGTTATCAAGAGTTACCTATTATTGTACGTCATTCTAACTTGATGGTGTATATAAATTATACACTGTCAGTGTACAAGAGTTAAACTCTGAGTATCAAAGAGCTAGAGATGAAACCAGAAGTGAATGCTAGACTTTTGCACCCATTTGGCATCATTTTTTGACAGGCTTTTGCAATCCTTCTGCTCATCTTAGAAGGAACCAAGAAGCACATCAAAAGAAATGCACATTACCAAAAAGACTGAGTAATGAATAAATTGGAAACCTTTCCTAGTTAAGTTACAGAAACCAAGAACATTGAAAAGTTACAAAGAAAAAGTGAAACCCCCCAAAAAAAAGGTGGGGGGAGGGAGGGGTTAACAAGAAGACAGAAGTATTGCCTATAAGATCTTTGACCTTTGACACTCAGCTTAATTACACTTGCAATTTGGAAAAAACAAATATGGAACCTACAGATAAAAGTTGGGCTAAACTGGATTTCTGTTGATTTACATCGACCAATGCACCGTCTATGTGAGCTTACTCACATTGCCGGCCTCAATCTGCTTGGGTTTCAGGAGAAGCAGTTGCTGTTGTAATGCAGTATGAAAGATTTCCAAGTTGATATCTACACCTCCTTCATCAATCAATGAAGGTGGAAATTTAACAGTCAGATCGAAGGAAACTCTCATATGTTGTTCCGCTCAATGTCTTGTTCACATCATCCCAGTTCTTGATATGCTCCCGCAAAGGTCCACTATGTATCTTAACTTGGCGGCTACTTAAATTCATTTGTGGTAATTTTAGAAAATCTAGTACATCTCCCAATTTCTGCAATAAATCCAGAAAACAATGAGCAACAGAAAGGAACAAGATTTTGAGTATTTTTCTGGATAGCAAAAGGAAAAAGAATAAATGGGCCCTTCAATCATATAGTGTCTTGACATTTCGTCATATAAAGAAACCAAACAATAGATCTTGAATTTCTTTGCTTAAGGAAACTTCAACAGAGTGCATATAGGTTAATTTCTCGTATGGTTACTAAACTTTATCTACTACTTTAATAGTAAAGTACTAAAACTACTTTTTGACACTTTAAAGTAAATGAACTTTACGTAAAAACACAATACTGNAAGTGGCACCACCTAACCAGATCCAACTTAGCCAAAATTTTCATATTGCATAATCAGTAGCAAGTCAAAAGAAATCAAAGAGAGGTAAGTCTACATTTAGCATAAGACCAGACCAAAATAACACCCAGTTACTATGCACCTAAACTTGGCATATTCGGAACATTGTAACAAAAGTTTCATGTGATAAAACTCTTTTTCCACTGCGGTATTTCAGATCTAGGTCAGCGTTCTCAACCCTTTCCGTCTCTCAAAATAGTTAATGAAGTTGCCAACCAGTGTTTCAAAAAGCAAAGGCTTTCCCTGTCTCATGAGGAAAGGCAAGAGTCATGTGGTTGCATCTCAACTCAAGCAGCGTAATCTTAAGCTAGGTATACCTCCCACATGGCAGATAGTAGGATGCAAAGTGCCTAGCAATCTGAAACAACTGTGACCCCTCCCCCTAAGTAGTTTGAGAAGATTTTTGAGAAGTTGGAGCACACTGTCTCCCATTCCACGACATTTTTATCCCTGCCTACATCTCAGCGAAACTTTTAAGTTTAAAACATGTAAATCAACGAAAAATATTTTACCTGATTAAGCATCCACTTGAAGCCAACTGCAGCTGAACAGTGATTCTTGGAAGCACTCGTAAACAAGTCCATATTGTAAACACTGTCCAATGTCCTCAATATTGAGGAGGAATTTTCTCTTCGCCCTTTGACGGAGAAAATTTCACCATTGGAGCTTATATTAATATGACTATTTAGTAGTGTCTCAAACCATCCACTCCCAGACCTCTGCGTTGACAGAACAGCAAACAGCCGTACAGGATTACAGCCACATTCAGCCCTACAATAGATGGCCAAAGGAGATGAAATGAATATAAGACAAATTTGTAAAAGACTGAGCTAAAAATACTTACCTGTTAAAGGTTTTCGGTTTAGGATAATGAAAGTATGGAATCTGGGATCGGTCGGTGTCATATTCATGACACGGCCTTTCTACAACTTCAATGTTCAAGAATTTGCTCGTTTTCTCGTTGTTAGTTTGCTTAAGACAGGTTGAACAGATATAAACACCGCAAACCATTGCAAACACTACAACAATCATCCTCAATAATGCTGGAGATTTCTTGGGAGGTTTTATAATAATAGTATCCTGGAATTAAAATGAAAACACAGATGCCAATGAACTAGATTAACGCAAAAGTGGAAAATAAAATTGCAACATGAATTGACCTCAAATTAGACCACAGCCTTAGCAATGAACACGTTTCTAGGGCGATTAATTTTAAACATCTTAAGTAAATACCAGTTGACTAAACAAATAGAGAAATCAACTCATACAAAAGGCAAGTGAAAAAAAACTAATTACTGTTATTAGAGAACCACCTGCTATTATTGATATAAAGCAGAAAACTCAATCTAGTGAGTCTATAAAATTTGGATTTAAGTTACATATAATCTTTGTAATAGGTTACTTATCATTTTTATTAGGTTATTAGTCAATGGTAGAACTTTGTCTCTAATACCTTATATGTGACCCGATCGTGTAAATATTTTTGCACTATTAGTGTATACAACTTAAAATCAAAAATTTACCTTCGGGAAGTCATGAACCACATTCTCAATTAGTGGAAGATGTATAGTTAGTTTCTTTAAGAGGTTAATTCATACTAGTAAGTAGTAAGGGCCCGTTGGCCATAAAAAATTTCACTTTTCTCTGAAATCATTATTCGGCCATGAAAATTACAAATCCAAGTTGAAGTTGAATTCCGAAATTTTTTGAAATTCGAAAAACTAAAAAATGATGTTTTTCAAAATTTTCACCCCAAATCACTCACAAAAATTTAAAAACAACTACAATTTGTATTCATGTCCAATCACAACTCCCATTTCCAAAATACCATTTTCAACTTGAATTTTTTTTTCACTTTTTTCTGGAATTTCATAATGCCCACTAAGTATTTCAGGTGAAGTATTGATTCTTCACAACAACTCTATGAACAAACAGGGGAAAAAAATGAAAAATCTTCTCCCACTCAGCTTAATACAGACCCAAAAGAATGAGACCCCAAAAACATATTTTAGCTCACAGATGTCTGCACCTGCCTCTACTAATGTGTTTGTACAAAAAATCAAAACCCCAGATCAAAGAGTTCAAGAAACAGTTAAAATTTTGTCATGAAATACATCTGAGACATCTTTAAACCACCATAAATATACAATCTGGACAAATCACAGTTTCCTAAGAAACCAATTAGAAGAAGGGAAGGAGATTCCAGCTTCAACAAGAATGTAAATGTTTAGCAGGATCTCTTACAGAATATACTCAGCAAAAAGCAAAGCACAAAAAACAGAAAGGAAAGGGAACCATTAATTAAAAAGCGGAATTTGAAGGGGAAAAAAACAAACCTTTGTAAAGAAACAGATTTCTTCAGCCATTGTACTTCAACCAAAATCAAAAGGGAGACTAAAGAATCCTCAAATTCTTATACAAAGAGGTAGAGGCTATTGAATTAGTAGTTCTTTTGTGCTAGTCTCTTTCTATTTTTCAGGAGGAGGAGAAATAGTGGGAAATGTTGGCCCTATAGGAGGAGCTTTTAGATACGAATATTGATTGACTAGTACAAGTGTTTTGGATATATCAGGTTGTCGTCTTACTTTTTAATGTCGGAATCTAAGATAAAGCCATTATAATTTAATGTGAGATTTCTCGATTTTCATTGTCCAACTCAGACCAGCACCCATATGGACAGTATTTACAAAATGCTATTTGAATTAGTCTGACCATATTTACCAAATACTGATGGTTATACCATAAATAGGAAAGTGTTTGATTCTTTAGGGAGTATAAAATTGAAGTTGAATTATATTAATTTGCAATGTTTTAAAAGACGTTTTTTGGGCAAGATCCGAATCCTTGGAGAGGCATACCAAAAACGCACTGAGGCGTTGCGGTGGGGTAAGTATCATGGGGCATAAGCCTCAATATTCCGAGCGTTCGCCTAGGCGTAAGTCCAATATTTTGGGCGTTCATTTGGTGCGTAAGCCCCGAGAACTTTTTCAAATTTAAGCCAAAAATTACTTAATAAATCTTTTTTAACTTAAATGTCTAAAAGTTAACGCATAATAAATTTTTAAACTAAAAATCTCAAAAACCAAAGGTTTTTCTAATTGTTTAGCATAATTTTATAATCTTTTCTTTGTCATTTACTACTAAGTAACAAATACACTTTAGAGTTTAGACAAAGTACTAACTAAAAGCGAAGAGTTCTGTCCTCCAATTCTTAATCTACTTCTACGTTTACATTTTCCTTATTTATGCTTTTTTATTTTATTTTTTAATTCATTCTTTTCAAATTAGTTTTAAATTTTAGAATTTCTTTTGGTATCGCTTTATTTTATATTATTTTGATGACTGTATTATGGCGATTTATATTAGACAATGAGTATTTGTAATTTATTATCTATTTTGAAGTTTTTTAAATAATAACTTTATTTATTTTCACTAGAATATCATTTTTATAACTCTAAGTATGTTCTATCATAAACATGTTATAAGTGTAACGCATCTTTATGTCTTTTACGTTTCAAGCAAAAAATATTTATATATATATATACTAATTTTATAATTTTCTTGAATTTTTTTTTACAATTTTAATAGATTTTTTATTTATACATTTATTTATTAATTTATAAAAATATTAAATACTAAAAACTCATGGGGCTCACGCTCAGTGCCCCACGGCTATTGCGTCGCCCCGTATTAAATAAAATGCATCGCCTCTCGCCCACATCTTTTAAAACTGTGTTGATATGAATTTTTACTTGAAGAAACATTGTCAGATTTACAACTAAAAGTCAAAATTTCTCTTCGAATACATTTTCAAACCTGTATTTCAACGTTTAAACTAGTACTATTTGGTTTCAACTCTTAAGATGTACTCCATTAACCGCTGCTTTTTCCCCTAATTTCTTAATAGAATTTCTAAATTTTGTTTTAAACCAAAAGATCTTAATCTATGTCATAAGAGATAGAAATATTTTTATGAGATCTCCATTCGGGCATAATGTTATTTTTTTTTTTAAAAAAAAAACATATTGATTTTCTTCCAAATCACGGGAACAGTAAACATAAAATCTAGAGGCGCAAGCCAATAGGATATAGAAAAAAGCATCGTAGTCAATTTTCCTTTTTCTTTTTGCATTTTTTTAAGTTGTGAAATGCTGGCAAAGAAATGAGATTGTTAATAGGAAAAAAAGTAAAGAAAAGGAGATTGGTTGAATTTCTAGGGTTAAAATCCTCGATTGGTGGTTAAAAAAAACAAAGAGAAGCCTTAATAACTCTTTGAACATGAGAATGTGGAGTTGTAATTGTTAGTTAGAAGAATTAAAGAGTTTAACTAGAGTATAAAAGGACAATGCTTTTGCTATAGTAATCCAATTAGAATAAGTATGTTTGTAGATGAAACCAAAGAGACTTCAAAAGATAATTAAGACAAAAAAGGAAAAGGAAAAAGAAAAAAGGGAAAAGAATGGTAAAAGTGGTTAGATTTAATTACCTTATCTGTAACCTTGCTGAGACCCTTGCTTAAGTTTGGACTTTGGAGTTTCAAACATTGTTTCATGAAATTTAACTTATGTTAGCAAGATTTCATTTTCCTTTTAGCTCTTTAATTTGGTGGTTCTCATTTATTAATTAACTTAAGCTCTAATTGTCTTAGAATGCACGATATTTAAATATCATATTAAGGTAATCGCATGTAAAATGAACATACTGGAGGTGCTTTTCACGTATACATAATTTTTATTTATATATAGTAAAGAATTTTATATTATCAACGTATTTTAAATTGTTTTAGTAGATAATTACATGCCTTACCTATTTTGCAGGTTATTAAAATCACTTATTATGAATTATTACATATGTAGTTGGTTTTTTAGATGACTTGAGAGCGTATAATTTTTTTAATAAATGATCAGTTTACAGAAGGTAAACTAGAATTAATATAGATAATAAATACATTCAAGATTAGAGCTCTCAAATGAGTAGAATTTTAATTAGATTATCATGCACTCTTTCTTTGTAATTAAAAGGAATTTATCCAAACGTCTTTCTTAACACATAGAGACAAACACACGTATATGTCACCCATTTCTTGTAGTGGAAACAATGTTTGCTTAAGATGAAATATTTCTTTTTTCAGTAATCATAAGAATAAAAGGATTAGCTTATTTACTTAGCAATGGCAATTGACTACGTAACCGGCCACCATTAATAATTTGCAGTCCTCGTGTTTTACATACAAAAACAACAACAAAAAAATTATTAACTCCAGTTTAGTTTAGTTGTTGAACTAACTTAGTTAAGCCGCATCAATATATATATATATATATATTGATGCGGCTATATATACATATATGTATATATATATATATATATATATATATATATATATGTATATATGATTGATACTCTTCTTTTTTTCTTTCTTTTGTTACATTTATTAAGTGACTTGTTTGGATTAGACAACGATCTATTATTGATCAGTCACTTTCTGATGAACGGAAGTGTTTATATAATTAAACAAAAATGTCTTAAATGGGTCCTTAGTTCATGCAATCAATTAAAATCCGTGTATAAATTGTATCTTTCTCTTCCTCATAGGTTGAATTAAAATTCGACTGAATATGATGAAAATGGCTCGAAGTTAGAATTTCTTCTATGCTCCGCTTATCGCTTTATATGTCTTACAGTTGAGAAAAAAAGAGAAAGAAATCATATAGTAGCAGTTTTAAACTCTTTATGCACTTTGAACGAAGACGGGATTATTTTTTGCTAATTAATGGATAACTAATACTGAATGGTAATATTGGTGTGTTTAAATATTTATAGTGGTTAGTAAATTAATTTATTTTAACCATAGCTCATAATTTTTCATAAATTATCAACTTTTTCATGTTTTGACTTGATAGTTTAGCTAACAATTAATGATGTAATTGAAGTGGACAAGAGCCTTGGATAAGTTAATCAAAGAATTTGTCCTCTCTCCAACATTGCAGTTATGGCTATTAAACATATCTCATGGCTTATGTCAATATCCAAACAAACAAAGTAAGTTAAACTCCGCCAAAAAATAATCAAATTGTAGGCAGCTTGTACTCATATTCGTGTAGTACTATTTAATTGGTTGTTACTACACTGGTTTATAAAATTTCGAAAAATAAAACTAAAGTAACAAGTCACGAATCATGAGACACCCCACTTCACCAACCGAGCCGTTGGAAATGCACATCATTTGTCGACTACTTATCAGTTTGATTGCTTGCCTCGTGTTTTAATTAATTATTACTTGAATGATCATTTTCCTGCAAAATGCAAGGTTCTCGTTGTTTTTTTTTCTCTTTTCGGGTTTGCTTTTCTTTTCAAATAAAAGGCTCTTTAGTTTCTTATAAAAGTAGGGTAAGGTTGAACATTTTATGAATAGTAAAGCACCCCTTGCTTTTATCATTAGCTTTTGCTTAAAATTGAAGACAAGTTTCTATTATCGTGGTAGCGGTGTGGTCTTGTGGGCTATATAATTCTCTATGAGCGATATAGCAGAAAAGGATCTTTTTCTAAGGTTGTGTTTGATACGAAAGAAAATGTTTTTTGAAAAATATTTTTAAATTTTTTCATGTTTGGTTGGTTTAAATGTTTTGAAAAACATTTTCCTCATGAACTCATTTTCTTCTAATTGAAGGAAAATATTTTCCCTATCAAAAGAAGGGAAAATATNGTATTGGGTAAAATATGTTATGACACGTGGCCGTCCGAGAAAGGGACACATGGAACCCAAGACAAGGGAGGATGACTGAAGACCTAAGATAATTGTTTATCACCGAAAAGAATAATACTCATAAAGATGTGATAAATGCTCTTCTCTCGGTAGCATTTAATAGAGAATATTCATAGCATTAAGAGCAGTTATCCGTTACAAGGAATTTGGCATTTATGTTCACCGTTACATATTCATCAATGCCCCTCATAATTGACATTAAAGAAGGGCACGACCCTAAGACCTTCTTCATAGCTATAAATAATGAACTCAGTTGTCATTGTAAGTGGAAAGGATTTTCTGGCAAACTTATACTTTATTTTATTCAAAGCTCAATCCAATCTTATCTTCTGATTTCTCGACTCTTTTGTTGTTGAGCCCGGAAACCTTGCTCCCGGAATTATTTCTTCTGTTATTTCGTCTATATCTTAAGGCTAAGTATTGCGTAACTCTTTAATTATTTATTTATCTTAGAATCAAATTAATTCACTTATCTATAAACCACATATAAATAACTGTACCATTTTACGGGTAAACAGTTTGGCGCTCACCGTAGGGCCTAGATAGCCGTGTAATTAAATTGATCCTTACCTTTTTTTACTAACGCGTTTTGATCATTTTTGTCTTAGAAAAAATCATAAGAAATAGCATATAACACTGTTAACGACATGCACAACCCCGAGATTCGAGGGGATTAACCTCATTCCGAGGACTCAATCAGCGATACCCATAACGAAGGGAGTGACGCTACACCAATGCATGACAAGCAGTATCCTCGACATGTTTGGGGGACCACTCCCGATGACGCTGATGAAGAGCACGTCGTCGACGCGGTAAGGGTCTTGCAAGAGTAACAAGCGATCA